TCTTACTTAAGATCTTACATGAATTATCTTACAATATCACTGATAAGATTTATAGGCCGGATCTTACTTAAGATCTTACATGAATTATCCTACAATATCACTGATAAGATTTATAGGCCGGATCTTACTTAAGATCTTACATGAATTATCCTACAATATCACTGATAAGATTTATAGGCCAGATCTTACTTAAGATCTTACATGAATTATCTTACAATATCACTGATAAAATTTTTAGGCTGAATCTTACTTAAGATCTTACATAAATTATCTTACAATTTTACTGATAAGATTTACAGGTCGGATCTTATTTAAGATCTTACATGAATTATCTTACAATATCACTGATAAGATTTACAGGCCGGATCTTACTTAAGATCTTACATGAATTATCTTACCATATCACATCATAATAAGTCATGCAAGATCTTGAAAGATCTTACAAGTTGCATGACGTCACAGGAAGTAGTTGACAACCCACGATAGCCTTTACAAAAGTATGAGCATATAAAGAAAGCCAACTTCTAACAACATTAAAGTTAATTAAGTCACCATTATCACACAACATTATAGTATGCATTAATGCATTGTAAGATCTTGATCAGATCAGTCATTTTAATTATAAGGGATGTGACAAAATCCCATTTAATAAATCATAACTAAACTCTTTAAGATCTTGAAAGATCATACAAGATTTATACCTGATCTTAACTGATAATATAAGATTTAGTTCCTGATCTTGAAAGACTACGCAAGATTTAGTTCTTAATCTTGACTGATAAGTCAAGATAATGTAAGATTTATTGTCTGATCTTGAAAGATCATACAAGATTTATACCTGATCTTGACTGATAATGTAAGATTTAATTCCTGATCTTGAAAGACTATGCAAGATTGAGTTCTTAATCTTGACTGATAAGTCAAGATAATGTAAGATTTATTGCCTGATCTTGAAAGATCATACAAGATTTATACCTGATCTTGACTGATAATGTAAGATTTAATTCCTGATCTTGAAAGACTATGCAAGATTGAGTTCTTAATCTTGACTGATAAGTCAAGATAATGTAAGATTTATTGCCTGATCTTGAAAGATCATACAAGATTTAGTTCCTGTCTTGACTGATAATGTAAGATTTAATGCCTGATCTTGAAAGACTATGCAAGATTGAGTTCTTAATCTTGACTGATAAGTCAAGATAATGTAAGATTTATTGCCTGATCTTGAAAGATCATACAAGATTTAGTTCCTGATCTTGACTGATAATGTAAGATTTAGTTCCTGATCTTGATTGATAGCATAAGATTAATCATCTGATCATGTCTGATCATGTAAGATTTATCATAAGATCTTGACAAGATTTATCATAAGATCTGGCAAGAAT